AAGCCTATATTTCACTTTTGCATCTTTGATATTTCATTTCAACCGCCAACATTCCTGTGTTGGCCCACTGGATGACATCGCGGAAAATGATGGAGCAAAGATGCCGCAAGAGGCGGGTTGAGGCCCTTTGTCTCACGTTTGTAAAAAGCGCGCTATGGTTTGCGTTTCTATGGCCGAAAATAAACCGACAATAATTAGCGTGCAAACAAGAACTCAAATGAAAACTCAACGGATTTCCCATGACCACTTAGCTGCCCGACGAGATGCCTGAAAGTACAAGACGTATGCAATAACGCACCGTGACTGCGTTTTATTGCCTGGGATATTTCTGCCTGATCTCTTCAACACAAACGCACACCTGCCTTCATGTAAACGGCTGCCACAAAATCCACATTTGGAGTCCATTTTGTCGAGGACTGCCGACAAGGTGCCTGATGTAAAATGCACCAAATTCGACATGGAATAATGCAGCTGCAAAACAAAACATGGCAAGAACAAGGAATTTCCACCTCTTCTGAAGAATCAATCTTTTTTTTTCCCCCCCCCCAAATCAAAACACACATTCTGTAGAATCACATACTTGCTCGAAACTTGTAGGTAACAACTTTTGAATGATGCTAACGCTCTGGATGTTTTTATAACATGTCACGTGACTCGTATGCTTGCAGGCGCTGCGCTACGACAACCACGCCTTCAACAGCAAGTACTGTTTGTGTCAGATGCTGCGAGACAAAGTGGAGTCGGTCTTGGGGAAACGCGTGCAGGCTGCGCAGACCAACCTGGAACTCAGGTCTCCCGCGCTCTCTCTCTCTCTCTCACACACACACACAGATATACAGTTGTGTGTGTGTGTGTGTGTGTGTGTGTGTGTGTGTGTGTGTGTGTGTGTGTTTTCCAGTGAAGCGTACGGTCTTGAGGACTTGTTCAAAGAGACGCAGACACAGCTGGAGGCTCGCCGCGACGCCCTGCTGAGTCCTGGGTGGCGGCAGGACAACGTCATCACCATGGATGGCGATGTCACCACCATGGCCCTCAAGTTTCAACGGTACCTTTTGCATACACACCCCACACACATACTCCAAAAGGCAAAAACGTTGAGCCACTCGATGTCGTTTGTTTGTTTGTTTGTTTGTTTGTTTGCGCGGGGCAGACGTGAATATCCTCCCCAACTAACGCCAAAGATGTTCCTTCTGGAGTGGAGCCGGCGACAAAAGATGGAGCAGCCGACATACCAAACGGTAAACAAAGACAACGAATGCATTCAGAACAAAATCAATGATTTTCCCCAATTGAAAATCGACGACGTTTGTGTGGCCATGTCCCGTCCAGGTGCAACGTGCGCAGGATCGAGCCTTCCAGTCCACTGTGACTGTACAAGACAGGAAGTACAGATCCTCACTCTGGTCAGCCCACACGCGCACACACACCAGCAGGGAAAGGTTTTTTTTGTTGTTTTTCTTTAATGCATCAATAATTAACAATGGCCAGGAGATGGCAGCATTCGGGTCTCATTTGGATGTACAGTACAGAATTTGATGTGGGTGGAATTCAGTGTGGGTAATTCAAAATTGCATTTCACCAATCCACTTCCATAAAGAACCTTCCTATTGCATTTCTTTATGGATGATTGAGGACCGACCGGCTTTTTGCCCTTGACCTTATATCTTTGCGATCTTCCAGGGAGAAGTCAAAGAAGTTTGCTGAGCAGGCGTCCGCCGTGGTTTGTCTGCGCTCTCTGGGAATTCCAGAAGGCCGCATCGGCACGGAAAATGATGCGTGGCCGCAGAAAAGGAAGATAGAGGACAACCGCAACGCAGAAGAGAAGAGGAAAAAACGAACGGTGGATGCTGACGGCGAGCCGGACACCGGCAGCTTGTGAAGACAAAAACGTTCCACGTGGAACCACGTTTGACTTTTTATTTATTTTTTCCATCTCCCATCAACACAAACTTGCGGAATCCAGTGGACGACTTGAACATGGTTTTGATTATGTCGGGGATGATTTGAAACTCGCACTCAACTGAGGACTTTGATTTGATCTCGGGAACTTGAAGTTGTGTGTGACCCAAAAAGTCGATTGCGTTGTAAGCATACAAACGGCTGCTCGCTTTTGATTTTGTAACACGATTTTGGTTGGAACTTTTGAAGCTTTGGCCCCCAAGCTGCACCTGCAGCGAACAGGGGGCAGCATCATTTTGCTTGGGAAAAACCTCGGTTGAGCAGTCATCCGTTTTCTGCACGTCAACTTAAAGCATCGATGGAGATCAATATATTTTTTACTTATTTTTAATTTCAAATCATGGAACAGCGTTTGCTGCATGTAATTTTTTTTCTTGAGCCCAAAGAACATTTTTAGGAGGGAGGGGCGTGCTAGAATGAAGTTTAATTGCATGTCGAACAGGAGCCAAGAAGTGTGGTGAACAAATTCTTAAGAGACTACATGGAAACAGATTTAACACTGATGAAAAGAAAGGTGAAGAGAGACTAAAAAAAAACCAATGTTAATGTTGTCGCCGGGGGGGGGGGGGGTGCGGCGCATTATCTTCTCT